CTTCAGGAAGCCTCCTGCCCCGTGGCCGGAGAGTACGAGGGCATCATCCCCAACACGGACGGCCAGCTCTGTGCCAAGCTCTACTCGGACTGCAACAACCCTGACATCATGTTCTACACCGTGGTCAGCTGTCTGAATGCCTCTGACATCTATGAAGGTGAGTTTTTTTGGACACGAGATCCAAAGAGATGCCAAATTGTAGCCTTGTCTTGAGCACGTTCCTGCCTCTCAACCTGGTCTTCTGAGTCTGAGGAATGATTGTCTGGTGGGTGAAGTACTAATCTCTTTTGGTGGTGACACTTTCAGACATTAGATTAAGCGAGACATGTGGCCGCGGAATACACCTCCATTCGACTGGACCTTTGCGACTCACAGCGGCTGCCTTTGTTATTCGATGATGGGCGAGCGGCAATCACATGAAGGTCATATAAATTGTCTAGGATAAATACTCCTAAAACACTCCGAAATACTTATCTCAGCGATCGTCGTCTGCGCTGAAAGGAAAACGAGCGGTTGCTTCTTCCAATTCTCTTCTTGTACTGCCCCTGCTGAAAGCGGCATTAGATTCCCTTTAGAATCTAGGGAATTGCAAATCTGGTCAGTCAAATCACCGAAGGCCTCTTTGGCTGACGAAAAGGCAGTTTGGCCGGCAGTGCGCCATCTTACGCTCTTGCGTTTGGCTGCAACTCTCTAGCAGTTTTTGATCAAAACAGCTGTAAGCAAAGCGCCCGGCTGCGGATCCCTAGCAAGCGCAACCAGCAACTAGTGCCGTCTCGCCCCCTCTTACTCATTCGGTCCGTGGTTGTGGCAGCGGCAGCGCAGCTCCCTTACCGTCGCTGTTTTCAGGGACGCCGCGCGCTGTCCCACCGCATCCCCCGCTAATCCGGGCGGCGGGCGGGCGACCCCCCTACCCCCGCCCCCGCCCCCGCCCCCGCCCGGCGGCCGCTGGTGCTTACCGCGCTGCCGAGCCGGCCGCGGTTTGGAGGCACGGCGCCGGCGTTCGGCGGCATCCGGCCGCGCCGCCGTCGCCAGCTCCCGCCCCCGCCCTCGCCCCCGCCTACTGCCTACGACCCGTGGGCGTACTCGCGGCGCGGCGGCCCCGTCCAGGACAGCGCCGCACCGCCGACACGGACGCCGAACGACAGCAGCGGCGGCGACGGCGACGGCGTGTCGACGGCGGTGCGGCCGTGGCCCGGGCCCTTGGGCAGGTTCAGCGGCGGCCAGCCTCTGCCAGGCGCAGTGGACGGAGACGGCGCGGCGCCGCGCCGGCCGGTCCCACCGGCGGTCGTCCCTGTCGGCGCCGCGGCCACCGAGCCGCCGCCTCTGTCGCTGGCCGCTTTCCACGAAGGTAGCAGAACGACGCCGCACCTCACGCCGGCGGCACAAGCGTTTGTGAAGGCGGCACGTGCGAGCACGACACGTGTGGACACGGCTCACGTGCGCTGGGGGGTTCCGCGCAGGCGCCCAGCGCGTTGCGTGGCCACGTGCACCAGTTGGGCAGCGTCGTGTCGGACGCCACACGCCTGGCTCAGACGTGCCGTGCACTGCAGTTTGCTGTCACGAACCGCACGGTCACCACACACGATCCGCAAGGCAGGCCAGGCGTGACGTAATCATGGCAGGTAGAGGCTGCGTTTTCACCGATTCTGACATCCACCTCGTAACCATTGCACCGCTTTTCAATGAAGCCCATCTCACTTGGGATTTCGTGCAACACCTATCCCAAAGTTTGAATGTAATGCCATCGCTTCAGCCGCGCAGCTCTGCCTTTTCAGTGGTAAAGCTCTTCTGCGCCACGCATAAAACCATAAACGTTTAAATCGAACTCTGAAGTCTAAATATGGCCGCGCCCTCGGCGCGACCTCTGGTGGGTCGCGCGGTGCGACAGCTTCAGACATTCAAATTGACTGTGATGCGGACCCGTGCATTATCTGGGTTTCTAATGACCTAGTGCGAAATGGGTCACATCCGAAATGACGCATTTCAAAGCTTTTCAATAGCGGGAACGTTTCTGATTAACGTGGCGGAAAGGGCGATCCTAGCGTTCCACTTCTGCCTCAACATGCAGATCTGATGCGATCAGAGCTGTCAGAAAATCAATTATGGTCTGTAAACATCATTACAATGTGAATGGCAAACTATCCTCGGGGACCAGCCGGTAATTGCCCGTGGCCGGGCCCGGCCGCCGGAGCCGGCAGCGGAGCCTCCAGCGCAGCCCCGGCCGGGCGGCAGACCGCAGGGAGCGGGCCGCGGCGCGCGGCGCCCGGCCTCTAATGCCCCAACGCTGACAAATTGGCCAGCGGTGTGGGCCGATCGAGGGCTGGTCCCGGCGGCCGGTGGACCGCGCGGCAGGCGTAACCCTTGCGCTGAGCCTCGCCTGCCGCTTTGTCTGCAGCCGAAGCGCGCCGAGGGGAGGGGTCGCGTGGGGCGGGGTCGGCGCCGCGCCCTTCCTGGCCGCCACAGCCGCATCCGGAGCGCGCGGCTCCTCCCACCGGCCGCGCGGATCCGGATCCGGCCTGGATCCGGCCAAACCTCGCGTTGGGCGATGGACGAAGGGACTGTGTCGGCCGGCCGCGCCGCTATGGACTGGACGGAGAGGCTGTCGGAGCTGCCAGCGCCTATCAGCTCCGACACCCGCCGCCGCACTGACGGTGTAGTATCACTGGCAATCTAGCGCCTCTGTGTTAGTCACCATCTCTCATTCCGGCCCGAGTGCACAGCTCAAGGGCCCGCCGCAGTATGCAGTTACCAGAGTTTTTTTCTCATCGTCTAGCACACTTAACGCGCTGAACGTGCTGGTTCGATGGGTGATTTTCCCAGCGCCAGGCGGGCACGTAGCTTTCAGTCGATGCCAACCTCTCACCATTATCACGGCGCATGTGAAACGATGCAAATTGGCGGGGCCTCGCGTCCAGACCGGACCCAGGCCGACCGCAGTCGACGGACATGGTGCCTCGGGCGCCGGCCTGACCGCAGTCACGTGACCGGCCATGCCATTTATAGGACCGCCGCCAGGGGCGCACTAAGGCTGAGCAGGGGTGGACCGCCGCGGCGTTGTCCGGTGGTTGCACTTGCAATGCTTCCGGAGGATGCGGGAGGATGTGTAGTGATTCGATTCGGTTGCACAGAGCAAATTATCCGAGACAGAGAGGGCATCCAGTAAAAGTGAGCTATCGTTTCCGTATGACACGGTTTCCGAAGGTTTCCTAAAACGCGCCGCTTTTCGCCGACATTAGTTATAGCCGGCAATTACCGGCGCTTACCCGAGCGAAACTTTGGCCGCCGGTCCTCCTCGACCTTGCCGTCGCGGGAACACCGTGGGACGCGTTTCTCTTCCGCTGTCGCCACACCGCCGCGGTAAAAGTAGCATAGTCACCGGCTCGTGAGGACCGGCGCCCGTGTGAATCACGAGCTGCTCGGCGTGCCCGCACGCCGCCGTGACGTCACGGCAGCCCACGGCGGGCGGGGACGTCCCTCGGCGGTGACGAGGGTGCGCCGGGTGGGCCCACGTCCGCTCGCTGCACGCGGCGCTGGCTGTCCCGGTCTGGCTGCTTTGTTCCTGGAGAGGTAAATGACGCAGGTAAGCCGACGGAGCACGACGCCGATACGGCCCGGCGAGATGTCAGGAATTCTCGGGTAGATAAGGAGCTGCCCATGACTTCTCCGATCATGCTATGTGCTACATTGTGAAAAGCTCGTTCGGGTGGTAGGCGCCCCAGAGTTCTGTTCGCCGACAGGGTTCTGTAAATCGAGCCTAGCGTGGCATCGGCCATCTCTTTGCAAGGAACACTGGATGACAGATCGGGAAGGAAGTCGTCGAAATGCTCGGATATTTCTGACTCCGTACGGGTGGAAGCATTTCCCGGAGCAGCCGGCTTTCCTGCCGGCGTTCGCCCCATTGTTCCGGTGGCGAGCGGCGGCCGCTCCGATGACGAACGGCCGCTCCGGTGGCGAGCAACGGCCGCTCCGATGACGAACGGCCGCTCCGGTGGCGAGCGGCGGCCGCTCCGATGGCGAACGGCCGCTCCGATGGCGAACGGCCGCTCCGATGACGAACGGCCGCTCCGGTGGCGAGCAACGGCGCGGTGACGAGCTCGGGCTTTCCGTCGGCGCGCGCCGGCGCCGTGCGGCCCAGACCGTGCGGCCGCGGTGCGCGACTTTTTGCCAGCGTATGGTCGGAGCGCGCCGCTGAAGTATTGCGTTGGGAATACTTCACGTGTGTTTGGTGACCTCTGGGCCGACTCTGCAGGAATGTTAATTGGGTGTGCGCGGCGGCGGCGGCGGCCAGGCCGTCGGACTGATGAGGCGGTTACCTCGCTGCCGCAGCTGGGCGGGGGCCGCGGTTTAGAGCGGCAGGCGGACGTGTGGGGCCTCCGGTGGTGCGCAGCGTATCCTGTTGGCGCAACGCGTTGGGCTTCGAGTATCCCCGCATACAAGGATATGGACTGTGGAAGTGCGGACGCTTGTGCATGTTTCTCTTCTGTTTCAATAATTTTCGGAGTGGAAATGAAACTCCTGGTGGTGGTTTCTTCTCTGAATTGCTAGCATGCTAAACCTGGACTGCGAACTGCTTCTTTACGCACGATTGCTCCCATTTTGAAGTCCTGCGCGAAGGCTTCTTCTCTGTTTGCCAGTGCTGCTCAGTGTTTGCAGCAGCACTATAAATGATTTGAGCTTAGAAATGCATCTCCCTAATGAGACAAATTGCAACGTTTATATGCATATCAATGGCTATAGACCTAAAATACAGACCATGACCTGCGATGATTTTTTGGTGCTATTGTTCTTGCATCACTGGCCGTAAATTTTGAACACAATAGTGCGCTTTGTCACATGACTACCGCCACTGACCGCTGGTGTCCGTGTCCCTGGAGCGCAAGCGCCACTGCCTGGTCACGTGACCACCGCCACTGACCGTCGGTGTCCGTGTCCCTGGAGCACAAGCGCCACTGCCTGGTCACGTGACCACCGCCACTGACCGTCGGTGTTCGTGTCTCCAGAGCGCGAGTACCGGTGTCTGGGCACGTGGTCGGAGGGGGACGTCATGTACACGTACACGCAGCGGCGTGACGTCCTCTCGTACGAGTGCTTCGCCGGCCGCGTCATGGCCGACGGGCGCGTCTTCATCGGCGAGGCCGGCACCGACGAGAGCTGCCAACGCCGCGTTGACCCCACGCGCACCGGCATGCTCATCACTAAGACTGGTGAGTCTTTCACGGAGGCCACCACCAAGACTGGTGGGTCTTTCACAGACCGCCACCGAGACCGGCGGGTGTCGCGTAGTTCATCATCGAAATAGATGAATCTTGCAATGAGATCACCACTAAAACGTAACAAAATCGCGATCATACGTGTTCTGGAAAAGTAGTTAACATGAACGCGCTCTGCGCTCCCGCCTTACCATTTGCGTTGGCGCAGTTGCCCTTGTCGCGTGGCGCCTGGCGATCCCCGACGGTCACGTGACCACTGCTACCGATGACCGGTGCTGATGACGTGCTGACCCGGCAGCGGCGTGCTACAACATCGGCGTGGTGGTCCCGACGACGGCGGCGCCGGCGCCGGCGCCGCCCAGCCGGCGCACGCGGCCGCCGTCACCGCCCCCGCGGTTGCCGGCGTCGACGCGGGGCCGTCCCACCAAGCCGCCGGTCCCAGAGCGGACCGTCACCCGGCCCTGGAAGCCCATCACTGGTCAGTTGCCTCCGCGGAGAGAATGAGGATTCAGGGTGATCTGGCTCGCGCGCGATCTAATGTGGGGAAGGATGTGGGTCGGAGTGAAATTGAGTGCCTTTTGCAGTTACGAATCGATCCATTCAGCCTGCTTTGAGCATTAGCTCGTTTGACATTGATAATGTTTTTGACGAGCATAATTGCAATAATATCGCAAAGCTTGACATTAACAATCAAAACTGAATGCGCGTTTTCACCGAGAGGGCCGTCGTTGATCGATTTCCTGATCATTTCAGCTCGTCCCGGCACGCAGAGCTCCGGGAGCAGTCCACGCTCGTCGCTGTGGGCGTGGGTCGTCATGGCAACACTGGTCACAGCTGTCCGGCTCTAGTCCGCCGACCGGCGCTTGTTCAGTGCCGCTTCGTCCGAGCTTTGTCGGTGACCTATGTCGGGTCAGGTCACACGAGACTGGTGGAACTGGACAGTGATGGCGTGCAACTAGATCGGATCGTCGGCCTCAGTTCTGCTGCCGCCAACGATCCCGATGTTCCTGTGCAAGTCAGTGCATCACGTTATCCTCATCTGTGATATACGAGTGTAGGCGTTGTGTTTGTTCCTCTGATTTCCTTTGTTGATGAGCTGGTTCTCTTCTGGGCAGAAGCGAGCTCTGCGGTGAGCCGTGAAGTGCGTACGTGCTGCCGGGTGTTAGGCCTCTGTGGTGTGGAGCTGTATATACGATTGCATCACATATCCATTTTGACGGGATGCATACGGCTTGGATTATCTATAGTTAGCCTCGCGCTAAGTATACTGGATACCATTGATGGATAGGCACAGACCTCAGAGGAGAACGAATGCGATTATGTACAAAAGATATTTGTATTGTCGCTCACTCTACTGCTAAGAGTATCACATAGCTGTGATTGTGATACCGTGTTGTAACAGTGACGCATATTGGTGTGTTTATGCCCAGTGTTTTTGTGGCGATGCGTAACTAAGACAGACGTAATACAGATATGACATGAGATACTGTATATTATGTAGCTTACATGATACTACCTGAATGCCGAAGGCTACAGAAAGCGCTCGGACACGAATAGCTGACAGGTGTACGATTATAACGGTGAACTTATATTCAAAGGACTAAACAGTAAGTTACGAATTTCGCGTTCCGTTTCCTTTTCATATCGATGCTTGTATGGCTAATGTAGTCGTCACTTACGAGACGTACGAAACATTCACGAAGATATTCATTCAGTCGGCCGGTGGCGGTCTGTCAGCGCCGATACCTTGTAACTCCATGATCAAACCGAACAATATTTGATTTGGGCCAGCGGGGGGGGGGGGAGGGGAAACCCAACCACGTCATCATGGGAACACCTCACTGGTTTTAAAATGTCCTCCTGCTTATTTTCAGTTTGAGTCTGCAGGCATATAATCAGTTGGAAATCGCGCAGAACGTCTGCTCAATCAGCGGCTGAAAAACAGTTGTCAATACGGGCTCTGTGTGGCCCAGAAGCCAATACATGATCATGATCTGCATGATCCACCCAGAAGTCAGTACAGATTCTACGTGACTCAGAAATCCATAAACACGAAGGCAGGCGGCAGCAGTCATCGGGAGCAATTTTCAATAGGGAGAGTACATAATGTCCACAGTACTTTTCAACCTATCCATGAGTACTTCTTCCTTGACACTGCGCTACATGACTAACCAGGTGGCCAGCCCCACAGCCGGCACCTTACAGACTCCAAGTGCACTGGGGCGGGATGTGCCGACGCTAGGGCGGTGCCGCAGCTCCCCCTCCCTCAACGCCGTCTACCCCATCATTGATCGCTGTTTTCACCTGGGCAGATCCGGCGGCGTTCTCACAGTCACGGCCCGCACTGCGCCGCTCCCAGGCGCCAGGAAGCGGCGATTACGAACGGGTCATCCCGGACCCGTGTGAACCCCGGGCGGCGGCTGCCTCCGCCACCGCCGGCTACCGCAGAGGAATGCGCCCACAAGAGTCCGACCACACCGCTGGTCAGGTCACAGCGCGCTGCTTAGCGGCCAGATGTCAAGTGGACTGTCGGTGGGAGTCGAGCAGATCTGTTTGTAAAACGGTTGTGGCTTGGTGCCTCACAATAACGGTATCGATAACAGTGTGGTGTCTTACAAGCTCCTAAACGGCCGGAACCCGCGTCGATCCACGGCATCACTCTACGACGAGTGTTCTTCCGGTCAGTCGGCGAGCGGGTCTGGTCAAACCCGATGGGTGGTTCGATTCCTGCCGGTTAATATTGGACACCGTGCTTTCATCATCTGGACGCGTGACACACCTTGGCTGTCTTTCGACTCCTTTGCTAAGCAGCTGTGTGTAGCTTTGCCTTGCCGTTGGCGCCGCCCACTGCAGCCGCTGCTCTGACTGGTACGGCACGCCGGCTGACCCTTCCTTCTCGGCGCGTGCCTCCCACCTGCCCGGTAGCCGTCCATTGTTTATAAATTTTGACAACCGGCTATCTGCATATTCAAATCGCTCCATCCTATAAGCAGGCGATAATTTGGTGTTGATGAATCTCTTTGGCTCCCCGACCCAACGCACCACTTATGGCCAGTATCTATAATCAGTGACCTCCGGGCCGTACGCGACCCTAGGACGATTGATTTGATTACTTGGGTGTACTTCCACGCATTATTGATCGGCGGAATGTGTTCCCGGTTCTGATCGAGCCGAGTCGGACGCGGCTGGAGTCGATCGAGCCGTGTCGGACGCGGCTGGAGTCGATTGAGCAGGATCAGACGCGGCTGGAGTCGATCGAGCCGGGTTGGACGCGGCTGGAGTCGATTGAGCAGGGTCAGACGCAACTGGAGTCGATCAAGCCGGGTTGGACGCGGCTGGAGTCGATCGAGCCGGGTTGGACGCGCTTGGAGTCGATTGAAGAGGGTCGGACGCGGCTGGAGTCGATCGAGCCGTGTCGGACGCGGTTGGAGCCGTTCATCAGGACCGATCCTGTGCGCTCGCTCCAGCGCTGTCACAACAGGCGCCCGGCCTTCCCATGGCGCCGCAATCTTTATTTGAGTCTCGCCGCTCTCCATAACTCCCTTGTTTCCACTTGGCTGCCGCTTTGCCGCGTTTCACACGACAGCGAGCTGGCTCTTCCCACGCCATTCGCGCTGCACCGGCCGCGGGCGTGGTGGCGGCAGAGGGTGGCGGCCTTCTCGTGTGATGTCATCCGACACGGAGCCGTCTCTCCGGCGCCTCGGCTTTCCTGGACGCTGTGGCGTCGGAGCCCGACACGTGTCGCCGTCCCACACAATTCACCGGCAATAATAACACGCGACGATGCTTTTTGCGCTTTCCAGAGCGACTTCTGATATCCGCACGCCTCTAAAACAGCTGTATTGCGCCTCGATTTAGCGCCGCGTTTTTTGCTGTTTTTTTTTTAGGTGGGTGGGTGGTTGGCAAATCCCCATTTTCCTGATCAGTACTGAACAGAATAGTGAGAGGCATGAAATGGTGTGTAATATCTTTGTTTTCATAAAATAGCGGCCTGGAATGACCCCAGATATCGGTGGTGGCAGCCACACATATGCGAATATAACTGCAGTCACCCACATGTGGGAGGAAGTTATGAAACATGGCGGCTGGTAGACAACGACCTTTGGCATAAATTTTGCACGGCTGAGGTCTATTATGTGTTCACATAATATCGTATCGGTCACTGCTGAGAGTTACCCTAAGTGAGGCTGTCGTAAATGTCGCTGATTTTCCAAGTAAGAAGTCGATTATTTTTAACACATGAACCGGATAACTATCTTTGCTTTCGTAGATGCATCGGATTATATTTCGAATGTTACCGTCGCTACCACATGTGTTATCGGTGAAACGAACGAAAACAGAAAAAGAGAAAGACATTAATATCCGATTAACAAAATCAAGCCAAGACCTTGGATATTGAGGCATACGCCCTTGAGACCGCGCGGGTTCTCGCTGTCTGGTAACGGGATGAAGTATCATTATGCACTTACATTGCACCTGCCCATACTTCAGCCTGAATGCGAGCTCGTACAGCATAAGCAAAGCTCGTCGTAGACTTTTACTATGATGGAACACTGGATGTGTCACCGTCTTTTGGTGTCCTGAGATGCCCATCATTGACGAGAATTATAACCTTTCATTCAAAAACTGTTGTGAGTAATTTCAGTTTCAAACAAAGCTCGCCTATGGCATGCCGCTAACGTGTTATGGCGTACCTCTGGCAGTGCTGCATTCACATATGAGAGACATTTGGAGCCCCATGGGATGACACTATGGCATCAGCTTACCCTATCGCAGTCACAGAGCTGGCACACCTTAAGTGATCGAATGCGACTAGTGGTCAGGCTTGATTATTGTATTGGCCTATGGTTCTCAGTGGCAGTGGTCAGCGGTCTCTGGCGTCGCTCTGGCCTCCACTAACAGCTGCTCTGAGAACCCGTCCCGTGCGGCGATGCTGGATTCGTGTCAGCCATCGTCGGCTTGGCTCCCACTGGAGCCGCCTCTCCTGGCTATGCGGCGGTATCAGCGGCTATCTCCTGTCTCCCGATAGCCTGCCGGCGCGAACACGCAATTTCGGGGCGGACAAGACCACCAGTTGCGTGCAGAAACCCCACCCGCCCGCCTTTGCTTAATTGACGCCTGGCCGTAAAAACGGCGGATGTTTTAATGAAGCTAAAGGCGATCTAATGAGCTATTCGCCCTCATCTGCGGCCGATCGTCGGTGGCGTGCGCCCCGATGACTGACGGGGTGATGACAGCGCACGTTAGCCCCATCTCTATCTTGGACTCGCGGGGTCCCCGACCATCTTTATCTAACGGTTCATGTCGGCAACCATCTGCGGACTTGGAGCTGCTGACCATCTCTATTAAACGTTTCACAACAGCGCGGGTCAGCAGCCACCGGCCCATCTCTATGGAATAGTTCAAGCTCCGTGCCCATATATCTATCGAACAGCATATAAAAGTTGGACCCGTTTCTCTGGAGCTATTTGTCATTAATCATTTCAGAAGGCTTAACCTCCATCAGACTGCTACCTCCATCAGATCGTCTACTACCACCATCAGACCGTCTACTACCTCCATCAGACCGTCTGCTACCTCCATCAGACTGTTATGGATATCGCCAGACGCTCTCTCCAGCTTTTGCGACAACACCCTTCACCAATGTTTCGAGCCCATCTCCCCAGAGCTGTTCATAAAGGCAGTCCCGGGGCAGAGTCTCAAATACTTATTTTCGTGATCCTCGCGCACAAGTGGACGCGGGAAGAAGACGTGCGTTTTCAGAAGAAATGAAGGTTTGTTGTTCACATCGGCTGGAGCGATTATGCAGCAAATTCACACTCTACCTTGGATCACGCTTCCCTGATAGCACACCATCTCTGATGCATCTTGAGGACGCCCGCTAACCAGGTCAGGCCGAGACTAACTGAGTCACGAACATTTGAAGTGGCTGCTGGGGCAGCATTCCGGCATTGTCGAACCGTGATCTGAACACAATCATCAAGGTCAAATATAAAATAAAAAGACATCAGAATGGAGTCTGACAAAGCAAAGCTCACACGTAAGGATTTGGCTACGTTGCAGCTTAACACGCACCCGGGTGGCCGGCTAGATACCCTTCGCTCGGGTGGGGGTGGAGGTCAGTTTGACCCTCCCGCCGAGATCTTGGAAACTGAGAAAGCTAGAGACACCAAATTTACCGGATATGTTGACCTACACGTGAACTCATTTAGGTTCACGTTTCAGGTTCCTAAGTTATGGTCTTCGGGTCAAAAAAGGTCAAACAAGGTCAAGTTCCGGGATGGTCTCCAAAGTGCCCCCGGAACCTAGATAACCGTTTCTAAGCAAACGGTCACATTCTCATTTAAGGTCAGTGACCTTGTTCGATCTTTTGAAGGTTAAGGTGACCAAAATCATACAAGATTGCCTTGAGTTTTGCATTTGACTAAGCAACAAAGATTACGCTAGGCAGTATGTTTCTAAAAAAACATGTTGACCTGGGTCA